GTGTCAGTCAGCTGTCGGCTCTTACGCTGGCCAATAGAATCTTCCTGTCTATTCGTAGCAGCCAGCTATAGGCTCTCACTCTAGCCAGTAGAAAATTGCCACAAACTACATGAAAACTGCCGTAGATGCATGAAAAAAATCGATTATTTCCACTATCGATGGGAGTTGGGAAATGCAAAGTCGGTCTTAGCCTTCCCACTAACTTGGAGCATGTGCATGTAAATTTTGGTGCAAATCCGTCGAAAATTGCGGCCGTGCATTCGTTACACACACACACACACACACACACACACACACACACACACACACACACACACACACACACTCACACTCACAGACACACACATCCCGCCTTCTATAGATAGAGATTCCACTAACACGCAATGTGTCACAGAGTATTGCGAACAAGAGTAAAGTGGTGTGCTTGAGGAAAGGATACAGAGAAGTACAGGGACAAGCTCAGGGTCTCAGATGTCGATTGACATTACACTTGAATATTTGAAGATTATAGTCATTGGGGAAGAAATTAAGGGGAAGGAAGAAACTGTTTGAGAAAAAGAGACGGTTACATTTGACAGTGAAAGGGTGGGGCCGAGATGCCACCCTGGTCGGAGTTTAAATTCATGAAGTCCAGGGAGCAGCGAAAAAAGCTCGTCGGAACAATTGCCGTGAAAATATTTCTAGAAGAGACAGAGGGAAGCCACATCTGTGGGATAGCGATTGTAGACTTGTTGACAGATCAGAACCATATCATATACCATATTTGTCTCTGGATTTTGTCGAGAACCTCAAGATGTACACCTCGGACACCAGACCATATATGACAGTAATATTCCACGCAAGGATGGATGGTTAATTTATAGGTTTGAAGGATGGATTTAGACGAGAAAAACTTCCTGGCATGACACAGAGAACCAAATTTCCTTGCTGGGGATGAAGCTGTTGATTCAATGTATCGATTCCACCTCATGTCAGTGAATAGCGTGAGACGAAGCAGACGTAACGAGGCGCTCTAAGGAGTTAGGAATCAGTCATTCTAATGGGAGGCAGGAAGGGATCTCTGTAGTGGGTAAAGGAGAATAGTTCCCTTTTGGAGACATTAAAGCTTACAAGCCATTCGCTGCCCCAGTCAACCACAGATTGGAGGTCCTTTTCGAGATCAGCAGCCAGGTTAGTTTTGTCAACGATACTAGATTTATTCATTGATGCACGAGTAAATAATGGTGTCGTTCGCGTAGATGCCAATTTGGGAACTGATGACATCGGAAAGGTCATTGATGAAGATCAGGAAGAGTGTAGGGCCTAAGGTAGAGCCTTGGGAAACACCAGCGTTTTTGATAAAGGAGCCGGTGGAGAAATCGTTTAGAACGACCTTCATTTCACGGTTTGACAGGAATTGTTGTATTAAGTCAAATAATCGTCCTGTACTGCTGTATACCTGAGGTTTACGAAGAAGGCCAGCATGCCAAACCCTATAAAACACTTTAGATATGTCTAGAGCAACGGCTCAAACTTCTCCATTATTTTTGTTTGGTATACAAATTCAGTTATGGCAATGAGCACGTCAGCTGTAGATCGGGCAAAGCGGAAAACATATTGCTTGTCGGAGCGTAGATTATGTGAAGTAAGGTGCTTAACCACTTCGGAAGACTTTACCAAAGAAGGGTAGGAGTTTGATAGAACGGTAGTTAGACGGGTTAGAAGGGTCCCCAGACAGGCACAACAGATGGGAACTTCTAGCAGGCTGGAAAGCAAGAGTCAGTGAGGCAGTAGTTGTAAAGTTTAGTGAGGACAGGAGTCAATTCAGGAGGACTTAACTTCAGGACAATATCCGGAATCCCGTCCCCTTATGGGAGTCTAATTTAGAGATAATACCCAATACCATCGTTGGGGTTATGTGCATCTCACTCAGTAGAGCCTCTGTTCTAGGGGGAAAGTCCGGTGTAGGTACAGCAGATGAGTTTAACGTTGAAGTGGATGAGAACTTACGAGCAAAGCGTTCAGCCTTATCAACTGAGGAGGTCAGGACCACAATTTGGCTGACTAAAGAGGGTATTGAGAGTTTGCTTTTGTTCAGCACGTTTTTTCAGAGCCGCCAATAATCTTTTGAAGCAAGCTTGCGAGACGCGGTACGTCGATTCATTGTTTTATCGGCAAAGAGTAACTTTGCTTCATTGAGGACATGCTTGCACTCGTTACGAGCAGTGTCAAAGAGACGTATGTTGTGATCAGACATGTCTCTACGGTATAGTCGGAAGTAGTGATTCCTTTGGGCAATATCAGCTGAGTAAGCAACTGAGAACCAAGGGGAGGAATGCGATTTCACTTTATATTTTCCTGTAGGGATGAAAGACTCGATTCCAGCTTTTACCCAGGATGAGACCTCAGACGCACATTTTTTTGGACGGGGAGGTTAAAGACAGTATCCCAGGGGACATCACGAAGAAAATCTCGGAACAACGTTCTGTTGGTAGGAGGTTCTTTACTAGGGGAGTAGTAGAAGTAAATGAAAACAGACAAGACGACATGGTCAGAATTGGCAGGAGGTCAGAGCTGCATGGCACGGCAAGACGGGGATGGAGGTAAAACAGAGACAAAAAGGGAAGCCTTATCATCATGGTTGCTGGGGAAAGGCGTGGGAAAGTCAACCACTTGTGTGAGAGATTGAGAGATTGAAAAGTTAAGTTTTTTTTTTTTTTATGCCAGGAAGGTTATTTACAGAGAGTTTAATCCATTTGGTATGGTGGGTATTGAAGTCAACAAACACAAATAGGTTTGCAGATGGATGTTGAGAGATAGCCTTGTTTATGTTATCGGAAATGCAGTCGATTACAACACAGTCTTGGGAAGATGGAGAGCGATAGAGAAAGAAGTGATAGCTTATCGATTTTAGGAGAGAGAGACAGAGACACATGTATGAATGGTCTGGAGATTCGAGAGAGAGTTTTCGAGCCAGTGGCAGAGGGTCTCGTGCGTAAACTCCCAGGCCATGCATGTGGGTAATAGAGTCCTTTTTTAGGAGAGGAAGGTAACCGAGAATCGAGAAGTCAGAGGAGGACATTGACGGATTTAGGCTGGTCTCGCAGATAGTATATATATATATATATATATATATATATATATATATATATATAAGTGAACATATTTACACACGCCCTATCTCTGATATTGAGCACTTTATCTCATAAATAAAGTACACCTTAAGAGTATATTTCTTCATATATACGTAAAGAAATATACTCTTAAGTTGTGCTATATTTATGGGATAAATTGGTCAATATCAGAGATAAAGCGTATTTAAATATAAAAGTGAACATTGAAGTCAACACTTAGACGCGATAGTCTTTTTCATGCTAGACGCAATCATCAGTCCATCTGACGATTATGTCTAGCATGAAACAGCCTATCGCCTCTAAGTTCACTTATATATATATATATATATATATATATATATATATATATATATATATATATATATATAAAAGAAAATACTCAGGTGCTGAAAAGTTAAATCTGGCCAGATAATCGGACATCGCACGTTTTGAAAAGGTCCCTTCATCACAGCCATATATTTTTACTGAAAACCTGAAACAAGAGAGATGTATACATTTGGATACAAAAGGATTCATAAATAGAAAAACAGAAATACGTTGATAAATAGGAGAATGTAAAGGAATATAACCAAATATGTAGAGTTTAAAGAACTATAAACACAGAAAGTATTAAGTGAATAAAATACATTCCATTCTTTCAGATCAAACCTGATAACTTCTATTTTTGCGTCCGAATGTCATTTCTAAGCGGTTAATGAATTTCTAATTCGAAATTGTTATTGCTTTAGAGGTTATATTTAATGGAAGCACGTAATTGAGTAGATAGCATTTTTTAACATTGCATATCTGTGACTACCGTCATGTTCATTTGAGAAACTTAAAGATATTTTGTCTTCCGCCACAGTTGGAACACAGTATCAACCGGCGTATTTTTAAACCGACCTACCATAGTACAATTGAACTTTATGATGTCTTCAGTGGCTGAGTGTTCTGAAATCACATGGGGATATATGGTGTTTTCATTTACAATGGTTTCTCGAATGCACAAGCCGATAAATATAAATTTACATAGTAAAATATTTGATTTCATCATTGTCAGAAACGGTGAAGACAATGAAATCAGAACGACAGGATTTCGCTAGTTTCACACTATATGCGATCATAAGACAATAAATATTTTTTCTTCAAAAGGTTCAACACAAAATTAAATTGATAACAAGGAAATTGTTTATTTCAAAATGCTATATATTAAATGTCTATCTTTCGAGCTAACGATATAATTTAACTTACAATGCTGCAGCTAACACCGCAAGTTGTCACAAAGTTTGTGGTGGAATCAAGATGGCCGATAAAGCTGCGGATGTAAGAAAGAATGAATATGTCGATTAACCACACATTCTCCAACTGTTACCATTAGCGACAAGTCAACTATGACTCAGCATTGAAGAGCTCTAATTCCAAAATATTCCTTCTCTATGTACCGACACCAACCTAGACCTTTTAAAGTCGGACTCCCACAATCTCCTTAGAACTCTTGAAACTGCTAAATTTCGTCTCTCTTCAAGTATATGCTTACACACGCACACAGAGGGAGAGAGAGAGAGAGAGAGACCAAATATATATATATATATATATATATATATATATATATATATATATATATATTCTCGCTTTAATTTTCACTTTTTGGTGTTCTTTTCCAAATTTGTCGATTTTTTCGCTATTTCTTGCGTCATTATTCTTGTAATAATTTCCTTGCTCTATATTCCTGTAATATACATGTTTCTTCCTATTCGTGAATAACGATTTTCTTGTGAACAATGTTTGTTCCGTCTTTCAATTATTCGTTCATTCATTCCTCCCCTTCATCGTCCACTTCTCCTCCTCCTCATCCTCCTCCTCCTTCTTCTTCTTCTTCTTCTTCTTCTTCGTCTTAATTTTTTTTAGTACCTGTGTCTCTCTTCGATACATTATTTTTGTACTCCCCCATTATTCTTTATTTTACAAATTTTTTTTTTACTTTTTTTTACTGTTTTAATTTTTTCCCTTATTTTTTTCTTTCTGGTTTTCTTCGTTATTTTTTGCTTTTTTCTTTGCTTTTCCAATCGATTTCCTTCATTTTTCTTTCTCTTGTTCATCTCTGTCTCTCGTTTCTCTTAATTTTTATTCTTCCTCATTATTTCTTTTTCTACTTCATTTCTTCTTTTACATTTTTATTAGATCGATTGAACTTTTTCGTTATTCAACACTTATTTTCATCCTAATAATGTATTCCTGCTGTTTTCTTTTTCTTTTGATTTCCGCAGTTTTTTTTCTTTTTCATTCCATTGCTTTTATCCCGTTTTTTCTTTCCTCTAGTTTTTATTTTGTTAAATTTTCCATTCTTCTTCATTATTTTTTTCTACAACTTATTTCTTCCTTCGTCTTTCTTATTGTTTGCACCTCCTCCTTTTATGTCATTTTTTTTTCATTCAAATTCCATCTTTTTTTTTTTATCAATCTACAGCAGATTTCCGTCCTCTCTTAATCACTCTATTTTTTTACCCTTTCTATTTTTCTTCATTTTATGTGATGCCTTCCCATGTTCTCTTCCCCTTCTGCTTTACACATTTAAAAACAAACACTTTTTTGATGCTTGCCAAAACTAGCATCATTTTCAGATACTTTTTATTTATTATCTCACTTCTTCTTCTTCTTCTTCTTCTTCTTCTTCTTCTTCTTCTTCTTCTTCTTCTTCTTCTTCTTTTTCTTCTTCTTCTTCTTCTTCTTATTATTATTATTGTTATTAACTTTATTATTATTATTATTGTTATTAACTTTATTATTATTATCATTATTCTTATCATTATTCTTATCATTATTATTATTATCATTATTATGATCATTATTACTATCATTATCATTATTATTAATATAATTATCAATATTATTATTATTATCATTATTATTAATATTATTATTAATATTATTGTTATTATTATTATTATTATTATTATTACGTTTGAACTCAGTTGTTATTGAAGCAACCGTAATTTTATTCATTTACCTCCGCCTCTGTTTTGCCTCGTCGACAATTTTAACACTTTTTATTCTGTTTTCTTTATTATCGATTTTTTTTCTTCTTACCTCTTCTAGTTTTCACGTTACTTTACTTATTTCTGATTCTCTTTTTTCTTTACTTTCATCTCTACATTTTTCCTTTTCTTTTTTTCTTTATTACCTTCTTTTATTTACATTGTTGTTGCCGTTGCTATTAAGATCATTATGAGCTGCAATTTTTGACGCCTAAAGGTGCTTTGTCGTTATTGTTGCTCTCATATTTTCCTTTACTTTATACATCCCGCAAATATGGATGTCATATTTATTTACTTATTGAAATAATAATAATAATAACAATAATAATAAACTGTGCTTACTCGAAATGCAAACTGTGTGTTGAATATCTCGAAACAACTGACCATCTTGTATGCACACTATTAGCATCCATCGAATATAAAATTCGGCAAGGTGTAGGCCAATATCTGCAGTAGAAAAATTTTCAACTGCAAGAAATTGGTATGAACATCACCTAGCTCTGGGTACAGACATAGGTTCTGTAACAAACTTATGGAACTTTATAATAAACACAGACAGAACAATCATCGTCCAGACATAGTGATCAAAGACCACATAACAGAATAGGCTTTCTCAGTTCCTGCAGACTATATATATATATATATATATATATATATATATATATATATGTGTGTGTGTGTGTGTGTGTGTGTGTGTGTGTGTGTGTGTGTGTGTGTGTGTGTGTGTGTGTGTGTAAAAAAGGCTTAAACACTAATATTCCATGGTCATAATTTATTCCATTGGAATCGTAAATACGATCCAATTCATCAGACCTACAAATTCAAAAAAACAAAACAGAAAAAACTACATATATATATATATATATATATATATATATATATGTATTTATGTATGTATGTATGTATAGTTGAAGATCTTAAAAATAGCATAATACAAGTATCTTAAAGTGGAACTCGAAAACATGTGGCACATGAAGGCATCAATAATTTCAGTTGCGGTTTTAGCCGAAGATTTAAGTGGAAAATATTATGATAGACTCACTGTAGCCCATGCTTTATAAAATACAAACAAAAATGTCCCTCACAAGTAGAGTTTACACCTTAAGACGCACTTTATCGATATAAAATGTATGTATACAGTGAAAATGTACAGTGAAAATCCCATGATGCCATTTCTGAACTTAGGTTTCTGTTTGAAACCCGGATGCTAATGAGAATACAACAGAAATCAATTAATAATAATAATAATAATAATAAAATCTTCAAAAAGCTGTCAAAATACAAGGACCTTGAAATCGAAATCTTAAAAATGTGGCACATCGCAACATCAACAATCCCTGTTGTAGTTGGAGCCCTAGGATTGGTTGGAAAAGATTCCAGTAGACTAATTGAAAGGATTCCTGGAAGCTCCATGCCTCAAAGAAATACAAAAAATTGTTCTCATAAGTATAGCCCACACTTTACGAAGGGCTTTATCTATGTAAAATATGTTGTTGTTGTTGTTGTTGTTGTTTGGGTTTTTTTTTACTTTTTAGGGGAAAATGTCATGACGCCATTTCTAGCCCTCGTTCTCTGGGCGGGACCCATAAATAAATGTGTACACACCAAAAATCAAAGGAAATAAAATAATAATCCTAATAAGAAAACAAATCATCTAAGTTTTTGAAATTTTAACAGGTCGGACAATCAAAGTAAAATGAACGAACCTTGTAGACAAAATATATACTATTACATACTGATCATTTGATGAAGAGGAAGTAACCAAAAATAAATTCTAAATCTTGATTAAGAGCTGAAGAAGTTGTCTGTAATGTATAATATAAAAGTGATATTAGGTGAACTGGAAAGACACGAATAATTAAGATATTTTAGAATACCATATTGAGAATATAAAATAGATAAAAAAATATCTGAGGATTGTGCGGGAAGAATGCTATTCTTATTGTCACTTGATTCCCAGCGATCGCTACCAGTTTCAATAACTACTAAAGAATTTATCAGGAAATTTTAACACATCCCCGTAAAATGAAGGATATATGAATCATAGTCATAATTATGATTATAGGAAAACGACTTCAAGGACAACTGCGTTGGGATTATTCAGACAATATCTCTACGAATAAATAATATGTCTCATGGTACCCTTTTAGTTAACAAGCCATTGACAGAGAATAATTTAAACTTGAAATCACTGTTGTCCCTTAATCTCTAAACACGTGTACATGTGCTAGTGTTTCTGTATTTCGATACAAAACATAAAAAAAGAAAATAATAAAAATACAGTGAAGCTAATCGAATGAAGAATAGCAAGAGAACATTCTCCTAAACCCAAACCCCAAAATAGGAAGAAAAACTATAAATATCAGTAAATAAATCTAAGTCATTATGAAGGTAAAACAAGATGTCTGTCGCAGGGAAAATGTTAGATATAGAGAGAAACTAAAATTCAATTAATATCGACGCAATGGAAAATTTAGAGAAAAGGAAATAGCCAATACCTAATATGACAAGGTGGTTCAAAAAATATAAAAACTAGAAAAAAATTCTTATTTGAAAACAGTATCCACTCACTAATGTGAAAACGACTAACATTTGACCATGCAAATAAAAATAAACGCAAAATAGAATCCCCTTAAGAGATTTAAAGGGATAATGTTGGAAGAATGTGAACTACAAATGCATCAGCCAATTCAGACCACTAAATTAGCTCCAATTTTTGTAACAAAAGAGAAAAAAGATTTATTCGACAATAGAATAAAAATGCATTTACTGCAGAGGAGATAATAGCGGTAAAATTTGGACGATTATAGAATCTATGATATCTGCATTTGTAAGAAAAAAATTTATAAATATTTCCATGATTTAGAATCAGGCTAATATCCTCATATTTATTGTTGTTGTTATTATTACAATGTTTCTGTTGATGTGTTTTCCTGAAGAATTCTGGTAGTCAAAACGGCTGAAACGTTGTCATAAGAGCAGCAAAGATGAGGATATGAGTCCGTCTGTAAATAATGTTAATATGGATCTAGATCTGACAGGATAATTGGAAACAATTATGGAATTTGCAGATGCAAATCTGTTCCTCTTGAGTTGCAAAACAATTGAAACGGTTTCAAAGAGCTTCACCAAAATAATGGAAGAATCTGGTGATCTAAGGTTTGATCTAAGGTTTGATCTAAGGTTTGATCTAATGTAGTATTGAGATTATCCAAACTTTAAAAGTGCTAAAACAGAAATGATACCGCAAAGAGTGCTGCAATATGCAGGAAACATACTTAAATTTGAACTGCAGTTGAAGCCAGTGGGGAGAAAAGGATAAATATAACATTTACAAATTAAAGTAAAATTGATGCTGAGCTCATGTAATAAACAAAGAACTACTGAGATTATGGATATTCTTGTTTTATCAACTCCCAAAATAAAACCTCAAGGCGCGATTGTAAAGAAGTCAGCCTTATAATAAATCAAAATATGTAAAGTTCCAGCGAAAATATTTAAACTATTTGTGTCTAAGTATTTGTCAGTTTATTTATTCTCGATGAATAAATGTGGCTTTCCTTTTCTACATTTTTTGATTATATATTTCAAGATCATTTTACTTAGAAATATTTTTCAAATATGTCGATGATTATATTATAATTAGTTGGCATTGTTATGTCTATCTAGAAGGATAGTTTGTTGTTTTTATGTTTTATGACAATTTCTTATCCGTTAGATTTTATTGCCCTTATCAGTGCACATTATAATCTACCATATTTTTTATTATTATTATTACACTCCCTGTTTTACTTAACGCGTTCGGATGGTGCTCATGCGATTTTTAATTGTTTCTTTTCCATAAAACATACAAATTATCCAGTGAATATACTTCCATTGTCTGCCATGCTTATTTTTGTGCGCGGAGGATGCCAGTGTAGGGCTACCTGATATTAAAAGATCAACACTAACATGTTGTCACCGAACTTGCATTTGAGATCAGTGTTATTTACTCTGAGAATTTCAGGAATTAAATATGTGGATGATGAAGTTTTAGCAAAAAATGGAAACGAAAAGAACAATTATACTTAGAAAATACGAAAATAAAAATACTTTCATTTCCTTTCGGGTGCCTACCAGAAACCTAAGGTTATAAATGCCTTCATGGTTATCTTCTTATGTTCATTTATTTAAAGCAAAACCCTAAAACCACACGCATTTTACATAGATAAAGCTCTTAGTAAGGCGTGATCTGTACTTTTGAGTATATTTTTTATATTTCTTTAAGTCATGGGCTGCCAGGAATCCATTCAATCACAACATTTTCCAACCAACCCGAGGGTTCCAGCTACAACTGGAATTTTTGATGTCCTCATATGCCACATTTTTTAGATTTTCATTTTAAATTACATGTATTTTAATATATTTTTTTAATTTCCATCGATACATTGCCATGTCATTATTATTATTATTATTATTTATTATTATTATTATTATTATTATTATTATTATTATTATTATTTTCTTTGATTTCTGGCGTTTACACATTTCTTTCCGGGTCACGCTCAGGGACCTAAGGTTAGAAATGGCATCATTACACTTTCCACTGACAAAAAAAAAAATTACACAGATAAAGCCCTTCGTAAAGTGTGGGCTGTACTTGTGAGAACAATTTTTTGTATCTCCTTGAGGCATGGACTTCCAGGAATCTCTTCAATTAGTCTACTGCAATCTTTTCCAACCAATCCTAGGACTCCAACTACAACAGGGATTGTTGATGTTTCCATATGCCACATTTTCGAGATTTCTATTTCAAGGTCCTTGTATTTTGACAGGGACTGCCATATCAACAAGGAGGCACCGTTTTTGTTTGTGGTCTTTAATAACAATATCTGGGCGGTTGGCTTTGATTGTTCTATGTATTGTGTAGTCCCATAGAATTGTAACAGGTCCTATCTCCGTAACCGGTCTGGTTGGTGTTCATACCAGTTTCTTTCAGTTTCCTTCCAGTAGAAGTTGCAGATTTTCCAGTGCAGATATTGGCCCACTCTGTCATGCCGGGTTTTATATTCAATCGGTGCCAACACCGTGCAACCGTGCTACAAGATGATCAATCGTTTCTGGATATTTATCACAGAATCTGAATTTTGGGCTGACACAATATTTTAGTATATGTGCTTGATAATTCCTAGTTAGTAAGCATT